GTGTGTGTGTGTGAGGGTGTGTGAAGGTGAGTTTGCTTGTGTCAAAATTGGGGACTTCTATCAGCTCACACACCAGTCAATTGGGGACACCTCTCCCTTTGGGGACCAAAACCACCGTCCCCAATTAGATTTACCTCTAACAACGTTCAGCATGCTCTAAAACATAATTTAATCCCAAAATCTCACCTGTCCCCAAAAGTGACATTTTTTAGATTTTTTGTTTATGTGTATGACATTGCCCCTAAAATTTCTCGCAATCTGTGTATAACTCTATGTTGCCCCTAGTGGAAGTGTGTGAAATTGCAAAAATTTCCACTGTCCCCAAAAGTGACATTTCTTGGATTTTTTTGTGTGTGTATTAACTCTCCCTAACCCTTATATTATTATAGTGTAAGATTTCTTTTAATATACTGATCTTTGTTGAAAATCTTATTTAACATTCTTTTGTATGAATGGTTTTATATAAACAAACATTTGTTCTCTTGACTAAATAATAGAAATCAGTAGACTATTTGTTAGAAAGTAGATTATATTTTCAAAGTGTAAAGAAGACACTAGAAAATACAAAAGAGTCATATTTCACGTAATTATGATATAAATAGTTTTAATATTTTTTAAAGAATTATTTGGCATGATGTGAAGCAGATGCATGAAATAATGGAGCACTTTAGGTTCATATTTGCTTTCTGAACTGCAGCTTGACATAAATTACTCTAAATTCTTGATACTTGTATTGCAACATCTTTAAGATGTTTCTTGAATTTCTGTTGAATGGTGCAGGGATCCAAAATTTGGTGAAACAGCTGAGCTAAATTTAAATTTAAATGTTAATACCTTTTAGGCAGTATGTAAAATACTGCCTAAAAAGCATAAAAAGTCACAAGCATATGGCATAAAAGTTAATTCTCACCAAAGTCTCTTTAAGAGCTGATCAAAAACTGTGTAAGACTATGGTCATTGAATATGGATCATGACAGAAAAAGCCATGGAGGTTTGTGCAAGCAGCACCATGTAGAGCAGCTTTAAAGGTATGAAAAGTGATTAAAACTTTTTTAGTTTCTTATACCTATATCTTAAGGTTTCTGCTGAAAAGTTTCAGCATTTTCTGTTTGAATGTAAGAAAGTTATTTAGTAATAAATGGTAATACTGGTTTGCTTGATGTGCCCTTGATAATTTGGAAAAAAAGACTTGAGCTAATTAGCCCGAAAAAGCTAGCCACGTATAAATTACACATTCAGAGATGTCTTGGATTAAAAATCAAGGCATGTTTAAATGAACCAAACTTTCAATATTTTAGGGGATTTGATTTTTTTTATGCCTTTATGATTCTAAAATAAAAAAGGATGTTTATTAGCATCCTTAAGTTTTTCATGTGCAAGCTAACAATGAGGATTATCTTCTTAATTAAGAGAGGCTAATGAAACGGAAAAAATAAATAAGCTTCACAAAAAGGAATATTATGTTATTTGTTTAATTAATTAATTAATTATTCTGAAACAAAGAAACATAAATAAGCTGCAGGATTTTGAATGTCCCCATTTAGGTTAAAGTGGAGTGTATTTGTGTTAGAAACGTCCCCAAAAGTCATAAGAATATGGCATACTAGTGACTATAGTTGGATATGTTTTGGGATTTTTTTAAAAGATGTTATCATGTCCCTTTTTCAGTATAAATCTATCCATGGAGTCTGTAAACAATTTATCAATGATCCCCACACTCAAGTAAGAGTTATGTTGTAAAACCCTTCATTATGTCTAAGATTTAAAAATACGGAACAAATACCAGTCAGAGTGAGGGCTAAGATAAAGCAATCCATTCCCCAAATCATTACACATACTTTAACAAATGCAAATATTTAATAATCAGAGTTCATTGTATTTACCAGTTCCCTAAGGGAAGTTTCCCATTGAATGTCCCCATTTAGGTTAAAGTGGAGTGTATTTGTTTTAAAAACGTCCCCAAAAGTCATAAGCATATGGCATACTAATGACTATAGTTGGATATGCTTTGGGATTTAAAAAAAAAATAGTATCATGTCTCTTTTTCTGTATAAATTTATACATGAAGTCGGAGAACAATTTATCAATGATCACCACACTCAAGTAAGAGTTATGTTGTAAAACCCTTCATTATGTCTAAGATTTGAAAATATGAAACAAATACCAATCAGAATGAGGTCTAAGATAAAGCAATCCATCCCCTAAATCATTACACATACCTCAACATATGCATATGTTTAATAATCAGAGTTCATTGTATTTACCAGTTCCCTAAGGAAAGTTTCCCATTGAATGTCCCCATTTAGGTTAAAGCGGAGTGTATTTGTGTTAGAAACGTCCCCAAAAGTCATAAGTATATGGCATACTAATGACTATAGTTGGATATGTTTTGGGATTATTTTTCTAAATGTAGTGAAGTAGATTCTGGGGTAGGATTGTACATGATGTCCATGAATGCACCACTAACATCCACACCTTCCCAGTTGACAATTAGCAGACTTATAAGAAACAGCTGCGCTTCACTACCAGAAGGAGGCATTTGGCAGTCTTATCCATCCAAGGTGGCTGAGAGCATTAGGCAGGCTAAGCACTTCAGATCTCTCCAGGAAAGCTACTCAGTTTATTATTGCCCTTTAGAGAGTGGTAAGTGGGACTCTTGCGTTCATCATAACTTGGCATAGTAGGGTGGACTTGACGACTGTTTCCTAGTGATGGTGAGATGAAGCCTCATGATGAACTGAAGCTTTCCACCCAATTGGTCGACTCATG